TCTCTATAGAGACTGTCAGGATTGTATTGAACAGTAACTACAGCAGTTATGGAGTGCATTTATTAGAAATAAATAATTACATCTAATTTTATAACCTGTTTAATAGTTCTTACTGCTTTTTTACCTACTGTTTTCTTCTTTTGGCTTGGAACAGGAATATTGCTATTAATTTATCCTTCAAATATTTTTGTAACTCACCATTTCTAACATTATGTGTTTGTTTGTTTGTTTTATTGCTTTCCTGTCTATTACAGGGACTAACAGTGATGAGCATATCTTTCCCTTCTCCTGTTTTTCTCCACAATGATAATTCCGGGAGATGGCTCAAAGTCCCCAGAGAATGCTCTGATGATGAAGTTGAATCTTAATAGTCTGATTTCTAGCATAGATATCATTCAAGTTGGCTTGACAACAATTAAAGTCTTGCAAATGTTGTTTAGCCACGATATTTGTTTAAACCTAGACAGATTCAATCCTTGCAAAAGTCTGACTGTGGCATTTTTTAGAAATCCAGGACTTGTTTTATTAATTGCACAAAATTAAATGGTATGGATGACTGGTGCAGTGTTCAAAAGCACAGTACCATTTCCAATTAAATGAACAAGCAAGGATTTATACAGAACATGTAAGGAGTCTTACACAGTTGTAGAAAGAGGTAAATGAAATGATCAAGGTGCATTGCTGATAACATGGTCTAATCTAAACTATGCTGTTATTTTGAAAAGCTTGGCAAAGAAAATGCCTATGCTAGCAATTGGTCAAGCATCATGAAACCTGAAAGTGTATTAATTATTAACTTTCTCTCTGAATTCATTCATCTGATATGAATTCAATTCATAACCTGACCCACCGTAATTACAATCAAAGCAGACATCGATGCCAGGTTAAGCAAGCTACTCCCTCTGTTTGTTTTTCCTAGAAATGAGACACTGCCACATCAATAAATTATAGTTTGCTGAGATACTCTGATATATATCAAGCAGATTATTTTCAATCAGTTATTCTTTTTTGTTTATCTGCTGCTGCATAACATATACATGTCTCAGTTATTTTGAAGAGGAGATGCAGAGTTTAATCTGCTATTTCATAGTTTCTGATCTAAAGTGATCTTATTAAGTTTTTTTTCTATATTTATAGCTTCCAATTAGTGTGCTCAAGGATTTGCTTACAACATATTGTAGAAAGCTAGAATTCATACGCCTGGTAAACTAGTTTTGCCATTATAAATAAATTGAACACTGATGTCAAAAGTGGTGAGTTTTTTTGCACGTGTCTAAGAACTGCAGAATAACTTCTTATGATGTCCATAACGCAGCTTATTATGGGAAGGAGCTAATCCTCTGGAATGTTCTGTCCCCCTGACATTTATGTGGTGCTTACTATTAAACCTACTATTAAACTAACTATTAAGCCTACTGTCCCTGTCCTACTATCCCCATTTACTTGCATTAATTTCCTTTGTTCATGTCCATATTCATACTTATACCTGCTATCCTATACATTTGACAAACTAATAAATAAATAAACTTTCTAAGTCATTGATGTCCTTGTTTGTCTCCATCCAGGCTTTCTCTTTATACTTTGTGTTTGTTTGTGTATGCTTTTCTTTTCTTTTCCCCCAGCACTATGCTGTTCTGTGAATATTGCTGCTATTTAAATCACATGGACATCACAAGTAATAAGAAGAAAGACCTAAGTAATTTTCTGTCATTTGACTTTGCTTCTCAACCCTCATTTTTAGACATTCTCATCAATTCCAGTTCTTTCTGCAGCAGTACATGGTAACATAAAATAATGAAATCTTTGTCTTCTAAGTTGTTAAAAGCTCCATTGTTACAGAGCATAGTTTAGACTATGTTACTGCACATGCAACATAAGGACACATGACTATGGATAAGCAAATGATGAAACACGACAAAGGATAGCAGAACAAAATTGATTGGTAAATAACTGAGAAACAAACTGTGCTAAATTGGTAATTGTAATTGGTAATTGGTAATTTTCATGGAAAAATGCACATTGTGCATTTGTGCATAGATTGTGCATCTATTCTATATTTCATNGACATAAGCACTCTCGGCCTTCCCTTTAACATGTGTTCTTCCACACCAGGCCCCTGATTGGTTACTATAAGTGTTACAATTACTATAAATACTGGGCGCGTTTTGTGAAAGGTTTGAATCGCTGTCATCTTTCTTCTAAATAAAGATCTTGTTCTTGCACATCCATGGCTCCTGCGTTTCCATCCACCCAATCCTTAAAACAAACTGCAACTCAAAACCCACTTATTTATCTCAAAGTGCCAACACGGCAATTTAACCTGAATAATGAGGTTTTACTACCTAAAATAATTATAAACAAGGCAGGGTTCAGCTAATTGTTCTAAAAAAAATAATAAATGCACTTTTATGTCCCTTTGTTTTTTTCCTGCTTTTGAAATATTACGTTTAGCAACAATAAAAAAGAAAAACTTTCTCTCCCTCTCTTCCCTCCTTTTTCTCCCTCTCTTTCTGCCTGTTTCTCTCTCTCTCTTCCCTCTATCTTTTTCCCTCCCTCCCTTTCTCACACCTCTCTCCCAGGGTGGTGGGAAATCTGATGTTCGGGGACAAGGAGCCAAGGAGCAGTGCACCGAAAACCAATGGGGAGGCGGAGCATCCCAACACCAGCAGTTCTGCAGGAAAACCAACTGACATCCAGCAAGTGAGAACGAGCCGAGATGACACAGGGTGGCTTTGTGGCTCTGTGTTGTAATGGGATCCATGAGGAGGGAAACCCATCTCCCCCATTGTGAAGTGCGCTACATTTCACTGTGCTGCGCAAGGCGCTGCAAGAGCAGTCAACAGGCCAGGCAGAAAGCTGTTTTGCTTTTTTTTAGTCCCACAAACATTTGTTTCCCTGCAAACAACAGCGAGAAATTCAACACAAAGGAGAAATGTGATGAAAATGGGCTGGGGAGACGGGGCAAATGCCCACAGAGAGGCTCTTAGTGCCACCTCTGGCACATGTGCCATAGGCTCGCCACCACTGCAATAGGGCATATTCACCCACACAGTTAACCCCAATCTGATCTAAATATTCCATCTTTGAAATGGTCTTTGAAATAAAAAGTGCAGTCTTACTAGCGATATCCAGCTTTCTTCCCTGCAAAAAGGAAGATAGTTTCTCCCGATGCCCCAGTATTTTTTATTTTTTAAATTCCTCCCTTTTAGAATGAACTTTTCAAATTTAAACTGCCATTGCTTGTAAATTAATACCATAAAGCCCTTAGGATCAAAGCGATGAGTTCTCCGGGATTCCGATGCTTATATAGGAGAACAACACGGAGTTTTAATGCTATTTCTTTTGTTTCCCATCTCGGGCTAAATCCTATCTGAATGTCTTTTTCTATCCTCAGTGGGTGTAGGTTACATTCCTGCTTTTGGGAGTGAAACGCCTGATTGGATTTCCAACGAAAATGTTTTCTTAGAAGTCTTTTGGAAAAGAGAGAGCCAACGAGGCAGCTTTATTCAATTCCTGCGGCTTTTTTTTTAAGATATAGTGCAATACCTGCAGATCATTCATGCTTTTTATCTGCTGAATAACACACCGCTGCCTTCCTCACAGGACTCTCCGGGACTCTGCTTTTTACCAGAAGAGTAAGAAAACCCACGCATGAAAGCGAAGAAATATGTCTCAGCATCCACCCTCAACAGCTGAAAGGGAACAAAAGCGCATGTGCGGCGGAAACTACTACTTTTTCCGCGCCCTCGCTACCCATTTTGTGCCCTTCGCTGCGTCCCCCCCTCCCCCCAAACAATGTTAATCTGCCAGTCCGGAGAAAGTCCACATGACTCGTCCCCGAAGCCACGTCCCTCTTTTCGCCGTAGCGCGCATGGGCGTCCTGCCTAAGCTCTGCTCTTGGCGGAGATCGCGCTTTCAACGCAATGGCTACCTCCTTGTGTCACCCGCCGTCGGCGCAGCCTGTTACTCACCTGATCTTTGACATGGACGGTCTGCTTCTGGGTGCGTAATTTACGCCCGCTGTTTTGCATTCGCCAGCTGGGCAGTCCGGTTGATGGCGAGAGAAGGCCGCAGATTAGGTCTGCCCTCTTTTTGCAGGACGGGAGCCGAGTGTCGCTATTGCCTCGCAGTTGTGTGCCGGGGCACGGAGTGCTAAAGGCTGCGGTTTAACCTGTGGTTTCTTCCGCCTCCTTGCTAGTAACTGAGATTCTGAAAACTGCCAACTGCAAACGCGCACACGCAAGCACGAATACCCTTCTGCTGTAGAAGGAAAGTACAAAGCCAGCAGGCAGGCTATGATTGCTTTGTTTGTGGAGTCCTCGCTCCAAATTGGAAATTTGCTGGTTGCTCAACGTGGCATGACATAACAATCCTCCTTTCTACCATCACGTGGACGCTTCAGATGGTCTTCACGTGCATAGGATACTGTATAGGGGGAAAAAACAAGGAACAAGAGTTGAAGTTTTTTAAGACGAATGCAAACCTTAGAGATAAGATGAGTAATTTTACAGTAATTTTAACTGCCTTATTGTTTAATAAAAAGGACTGTAACTCCAGTTAACTTTGTCCAGGATTGTACTGAATTTTAATTACAATTTTGATTCCTTTAATTCGGTGTTTTCAGAATTATCAGAAAATAATTATTCTTAAGTAAAGGGCAAAGGACAAGAGCCTTGGTCCTGTCATAAATAAATACCAGGAGTGACAAGATGCCTCTTAATATTATCTAGAAACTTTATAAATGAGACATTATTTCAGCCCGGGATAAAAATAATCCTACTTTGAAGTCTGCATAGAAAGAACTGGAGAAATAACTGGGCCTCCTGCTCTTCATTACATTAAAGTTGCACTTTAGTGAATGACCTTTCATATGAAGTTTTCGAAAAAAATAAACTTCCCAGTGGTAATGAGAATAGATAAAATGTTGCAACTTGAGAAAATAAAGTGCTAAACTAAAAATATTGTGCAGCACTAAACTGAAATTGGGTATCACATTGGAAGTATAAGTGTATATTGGTGACAAATATTAAAATGATACATACTAAAGTACAAATTTGAATGACATTTAGTATAGTCAGAGGGCTCTGATTTGATCATATTAATATAAAGATCTTTTTATCTATAATTCTGTCTTTTTTCTGTCATCTATTTACAGGTCGACTTAGATCACAATTGAGCCCAAATTTTACATTGCTGTGAGGCATTTGTTAAGTGAATTTTACCCCATATTACAACCTTTCTTGCCACAGTTGTTAAGTGAATCACTGCAGTTGTTAAGTTAGTAACACAGTTGTTAGATGAATCTGTCTTCCCCATTGACTTTGCTTGTCAGACAATTGCAAAAAGCGATCACATGACTCTGGAACACTGCAGCTGTCATAAATATGAGCTAGTTGCCAAGTATCTGGATTTTGATCATTTAACTAGGGGGTTACTGCAATGGTTGTGTGTAAAAAGTGGTTATAGGTCACTTTTTTCAGTGCCATTGTAATTTCAAATGGTCACTAAATGAACCTGTATTTATTGGAACTGTTAAGTGCAGTAAATAGAGTTTAAGATCTTAGTTAAATAAGGCACTGATCTACATTATTGGGCCTTCATTCTTCAAATCAAATACTTTATTACAGACCAGCTTCTTGTGATTAGATATGGATATTAGTTATACAGTAATATTTTTACACTGTTGTAGTTACTGTAAAAATAACTTACAAACATTTACAGTTTTCAGACATGCCTTAAAATACTGTTACCAGTGTCTGATGCTACTTGTGTACATTTAAAACATTGCATCTAAAATTAGTCTGTCTTAAATTTTGGTATGTACTTCAATATCTGAAATTGTGTTCAAATTAGTGTGTAGAATATGCCCTTTATGGAGCTCATATTAAATACATTGCCACAGTAATTTTCTTTTACACTCTTTTTGATGACATAAGATCTGAACAATTTATTAAATTTACTAATTACCTTCCCCTTTTGCTGTATACCATACCTTTTGCTGTTTGCCATGATTTCTTGCTTACCTATATTATGAAAATGCATTGTGAGCAGCAAACAGGTAGACTTCATGTAATTGGTAGGCTGCTTCATAGTAATTATATAATCTATTTAGAAAATGATAAATTTGTAAAAACTACTATAGTTCTGCAATGATTTATCTTTATTGTTATTGTTGTTTATATTTTATTCCAACTATGTATTTTTAACTGTTATGGTGCTATATAGCTTGTAAGCTGGTGAGAGTCAGTAGATAATGTTGCAAATAAATTTAGTAAATAAACAAGTGATAATATTCTCTCCTTTCCAAAATGTTTCTACATTCAGTAATATTTTTGCTAATTTTTCACATGTATATTTACAATGTTTACAGGAAAAGCTATGATATAGCTTTTTAATTACACATCATTACAATTTCTTCAGCTTTAAAACAGTCAAATTCTTAAATGATGTACAAGACATTATTTATTGATTTCTTAAATGTATTTCCCAGCTTCAAGCATGGTGCCTTAACCACTAAACCAAACTGCCTTAGATGGTCTTTTAGATTTCTCATATGTGTTAAACTGTAGTTTTGGTATCATTCAAAGCTGCTGTTGGAACTGAAAACCTTATAATCAAAAGTTTTTATTAATGAAGTACATTGTAATTATTTTGTAATACAGTTTCCACATTTTAGCAACTTTCTTTAATCACATTAGATTCTTGTGCCACAGAGTTTTAGAAAAACAAAATTCCAATCACATCGATTTGGCTATTTAAAACGAGTGTCTAACTCATTGTGATTGTACTTTTGCTATTCTCAAAACTGACACCTGATATGTGTTTACAGCTGTACGTAGTAACACTAAACCTGGCAAGTGGACAAGAAAACCAGTGTTAGTATTAGATGATATTGTATGAAGTCTCTTGTTTATGCCTAAGGAAGTAATAGATTAAAAATACAAATCTGCTGACTCATAACTTCTTGAAATCCTTATTATTTTTTTGTACTTTTTAGCATGCTGTGAGTTACACAATAAGTACATGTGAGGGCAATATGTGAGATGTTTATCAAGCGTACTGAGAGCAGAATCTGCTTTTATAGGTTAGATTTTTAAATTAAAGTAGGGCTTTTTCTAGCTGGATGTGCAATGGTAGGCTATTCATTGGGGAAACTGCTCTGTAGTCACCCTTTACAGAGTGGAGATTACTTTTAATATAATTTACAGAATATATTGTTGTATAGTAATACAGGTAAAGGAATTGAAACTATAATGCATTTTTAAGTCATAAAACAATTTTCAAGTAATGTGAAAAAATATAGTAAAATTTGGAGCACGTTTGCTATAATGATTGAAATACTGTACTGATCTAGAAACCAGGACGCTTGTGAGTTCTAGTCTTCCATTAAGCATGAAAGCTGGCTGGGTGATTTTGGGCCAGTTACTCTCTCCAGTCCAATCAATTCATAGGGTTGTTGTAGAAACTTGAGGGTTGGAAGATAATGTAAGCTGCTGTAAACTGTAACAGTAATGCTGGGTTACAGATATAATAATGAAAAACTATAATACATAGCCATAGATATTCTGTAGAAAGCTAAGGAATTTGGTAAGTAATTCATTCAAAATATATTGGACTATGATTCCGTTTACTCATAACTGTGCTGGCTAGAGATGATCAGAATTGTTATACAAGGTCTTTGGGAGACATCAAAGTAGGGAGTTTAGGTTAAATGCATAAATTCTCATAGCTAAATGTAGCCTTTACTTTTAAATGATTTTCCTAGGTCCATTTCACAATATTTACATTATTTTGTGTTATATAAGCACCAGAATACTCTAGCATTTCTGCTCTTTTATGTATGTAGGCATTGTATTTGACTTTTATACAATAAATTCTATATATGATGTATTTACTTGAGTATTCTTTGCTGTGCAAAAGAATGTTTGGTATGAAATTTGTTGTAGAAAATCGCTCATGCATATTTCTGTCTATTTAGGCTCTTATGGGATTAGAGATTGGACAGCCATTTGTCTGAAATGGTATAGGGCCGTGATGGCGAACCCATGGCATGTGTGGCCAAAGTGGCATACAAAGCCATGTCGTCTGGCACATGCAGCCTTGCCTGTTTGTCTTCTAGGTTTCTGGTGCGCATGTACGGGTGATGATCAGCTGTCCTTTGTGTGCACAGCAGTGGCAAAAACTGGTGTACACATGTGCACTGGCCAGCTGATTGTTAAGTGTGCATGCGTACCAGAACCCGGAAGTTTGGCTTTTCTGGAATGCGATCCCTTCGGGTGTGCAGCAGTTCCAAAAACCGTCCTGTGCATGTTCACTAGCCAGCTGATTATTGGGTATGCATACCTGCTAGAACCCAGAAATTCGGCTTTTCTGGAGCGCAGGCCCGACGAGCGCGCATGATGTTTCCACGTGACCTTTTCAGCACTCAGTGCCAAAAAGATTTGCCATCACTGGTATAGGGTCTCCTGATTGTGCAGGCAATTGGATTAAAATAGTAGATCTATTTTGGGACTACTTACATCTTTGATTCAAAGTTGTAATGGCTGCAGTCACGTGATCTAACTATGGGCACTCAGCAACATAGCCACATTTACAAACCATTTGCAGCATCCTGCAGCCGCCACATTTTACGATGCCTTTGCTGAAAACTGTCATTTATTTCCAGTTTTTAGCAAAATGGCACGCATGGTGAACATTGATTCGCTTAACAACAGCATTCTCTTGATGACTGCCACACAAAAAGTGATAAAATCATATGACTATCGCAAGTTATGAGCATGACGGGTAACCTTCATTACAGACATAAGTCAAGACAATATTTTAAAATAACAAATTCAAGAAAAGGGTTGATCTTTAGGCCTACTGTTTAAGGAAAACTTAATTTGCTCTTGAATTCCTTCATTATAATTTTAGTATTATAGTATTAATATAGTTAGATGCAAATCTAGTGATGCTAGTAGCAATGTAATATATATCTTTTGAACAACTTCTAATGTTTTATTCAAAAGTTGAAAAAACAAATTATTATTTTTAAATATTAAAGGTCTTAAAATATTACATTGGATTACAGCCAATAACACCATACTTTTAAAAATGGTCTTATAAGGTAGACATCCGGATCGCTAATCTAAGAATGTTACTTAGATGATGGAGCCAATCTAATTAGAGCTATGAAAAGGAGTTACATGTTTTTCTCTTATTGAAAAAGACAAAAATATTTGGTCACTGCTCAGTTTATAGACTTTCGGTTTTGTCTTCCCTTTAGATCTTTCTTTGGTAATGATACTTTCTCCCTAACCTTAAATGCCATCTTCTCTGAAAACCCTGTTCTGAAAGCAATTTTATTATGATAAATATTACTTTAACTTGTTACTTATTTCTTATTTAATATGTGCAACTACCTCTATTTTCTTGGAAAATATTCCACTAGAAACAAATGTTGAGTTATCCCCACTATGCTCTTAAGAATTTAATTATTAGTGTCCTTGTTGTTCTTTTGAGCAGTAGTCAAGGGCTCATGTCCTGCAGGAACAGTCTATAAAACAGGAATCAGGCCACAGACTCCTTTAATAAATACAATAGGATATATTTATTTCTACATGGTAAATTAGGATTTATAGATTAGAATATGAAAAGAAAAGATATTCATATGGAAAACATAACTAGATGGACAATGTACTTTTAGGTTTTAGACTCAAAACAATATATTAGAATGTTTCAAGTTAGCAAAGTCAGGATTTGACTTGTGACTGTGTTGCTTAATGATGGTGTTTAAAGTCTTAATGTTATTAGATGAGGACTACCCATAGTCCACTTCTTTCCGATTGGTCATTTAGTATTGATGATTTTGTCCTATACTATTTAAGAAGATAGAATATTGTTTACTGTATTTTTCGGAGTATAAGATGCATCAAGATTTTGAAGAGGCAATTTTTTTTAAAAAAAAGTAGGGCTAGACAGGGAGGGAAAGAGAGAAATACAGTAGGTAGGTAGGGAGAGAGAGTAGTTAGGTAGGGATGGAGATAAAGGGATGGAGAGAGAGAGAAAGAAAGAGAGATAGAGTGAGTATAGATAGGTAAGTAGATAGAGTGATAGAGGGAAATAGAGAGAAATATAGTAAGATAGGTAGGGAGAGAGAGAGTAGGTAGATAGATAAAGGGATAGAGACAGAGAGAGAGACAGAGAGAGAAATACCGTAGGTAGGTAGGGAGATGAATAGAGAGAGAGAGAGAAATACCATAGGTAGGTAGGGAGAAAGAGAAAGAGTGTAGGTAGGTAGGTAGGTAGGTAGAGGAAGAGAGAGAGAGAGATACGGTAGGTAGGGAGAGAGAGTAGTTAGGTAGGCAGTTAGGTAGGTAGGTAGATAAAGGGGGAGAGAGAGAAATACAGTAGGTAGGTAGGGAGAGAGAGTGTGTGTAGATAGGTAGGTAGAGGGATAGAAAAATAGAGATAGAGAGAAATACAGTAGATAGATAGGTGTTTCTGCTGGCACAGCACTTGATCAATGTAATTCTCATCACTCAGTTAAACAGCTTTCCAAAAGGGAAAAAAAAAGTTTTTGCACTCTGCAAACCTCCCAAAAATGGCCCATTTTTCACGAAAACTGGCCTGTTTTTTTTTTTCCAAAAAAAGGCATGAATAGCCTTGGGGGGGTGGGGTTGCAGACTGCACCTGTGGGGGGGGGCAAAAACGAGCAAAAAATGGCCCGTTTTTTGTCAAAAAAATTGCATGCATAGCTTTATGGAGACTTATAGAGTACTGCTGTGGGCTGGGGAGGGGGGGGAAACAGCCCATTTTTTGCTCATTTCTGCCCTCTCCAGTCCCCCCCCCCAGGAGCTCTCTGAAAGCCTCCATAAGGGTATGCACGGCCATTTTGGTGAGGGGGCAGGGCTTTAGAAGGCAAAAAATGCCGTATTCGGTGTATAAGACACACCCAGATTTTCAGCCTCTTTTTTGAGGAAAAAAGGTGTATCTTATACTCCGAAAAATATGGTAGATACAATTTCAACTCTTTTGGTTTGACGATGTAGCTACCTAGTGGTTGAAGACATCATTTTAATTCTGCTTTTCTTTGTTCCGCAGATACTGAACATCTTTATACTATTGTGTTCCAAAATATCTGCAATCGCTTTGGGAAAACCTACACCTGGGATGTGAAATCCTTAGCAATGGGTAAAAAAGCATTGGAAGGAGCAGAAATCATTCGCGACGCATTGGACCTTCCAATCACCAAAGAAGAGCTGTTACATGAAAGTAAAATCATGCAAGAAAAATTGTTTCCTATAGCTACATTGATGCCAGGTATTTTATCTCTTCAATTGTGTGTGCCTATCAGATTCCATCTTTACACTTTCAGTCCTAATGGATTGCATACTTTTTTTCTTGTGCTGGGTTAATTTAGCATTGCTTTGGAACTTAAGAAAGACTGAGATGTATTCCAATAATATCTTTAGATAATAGAAATTCCCTCTGCCTGTTCCGTCAGATGCATCTGAAGCATCTGCAATCGGTGTCTACCTGGCCCGCCACCCCCACGGCAGCTTCTTCTGGCTGCTCATGCATCCCAGCCAGAAACAGCATTGCGACAGCTGCCAGGGGCGAGGGGGCGGCAGTGGCAAGGACAGGCAAGGGCTTTCCTCCCTCCCCACCCGAGCGGGCTACCTGCATGGCTAAAGCCTGTGGCACTGATGTAGATCCGCGATCTGGAGTGCCTGGCTGATTCAGGTGCCCCAGAAGAGTCGTCTGGTCCCCACGCAGCCCCAGAAGAACAGCAGCAGCAGCTGCAGCCACAGGGGAAAGGCAGGAGCAACCGTGCAGCCACCACAGCTGCTCTCACGCCAGCGAGCCAGGCCTTTATAGAGGTAGCTCACCTCCCTGCCAGCAGCTCCTCCTCCAGCATCCTGGCTGGAAGTGGCAGCGCAACAGCCGCCGCTCCCAGGGGCAAAGGGGTGGCGGTGGTGAGAAAGGGCGACCTCTCAGGTGGGGATGGAGGGAAGCAATACTCAGGAAACAAGCAGCATTGATATTTATTGATGCACAAAAAGCATTCGATAACCTGAATTGGGATTTTCTTATAAATCAATTAGCAATAATGAACTTCGGAGAGAAATTCAACGGGATGATCAGAGCAATATATTTGAGTCAGAGGGCAAAAATAATACTAAACGGGGAAGCAACAGAAGATTTCAGCATAACCAAAGGGGTAAGACAGGGATGCCCTCTATCCCCCCCTGTTATTTATACTCTCAATAGAGACATTGACGTTACAAATTAGACAAAACAAGGACATAAAGGGATTGGAAATTAGAAAACAGGAATACAAAGTGCAGGCCTTTGCAGATGATCTAGCATTTATCATAGAGGAACCCCTAGAAACTGGACTAAAACTATTATAAGACATAAACCAATTCGGTAAAGTGGCAGGGCTTAAAATAAATAAAGCGAAAACTAAAATATTAACTAAGAATTTAACCCAAAAACAAAATGAAGAACTGGAGGAGAAACTGGGAATTTC